AGGATGGGAAAGGGCGGAGGTCCCTTGGGATTGTTCCCAGAAGTGAAAGTCAGGCTGGTGACAAGAACAACCTGCACAAGAACGCAGAACGTTGGAGGTGGGGTTTTCAGGAGGAGAAGGGTGGCTATTTTATCTCAGCAGGGCAGTTTTCCTTTTCTCCAAACGGTCCAGCAGCCATCTTGTTTTATTGTTTTCCTGTAAGAAAGCACAAACATTTCCTCCACCCCAAATTGGGTCTTTTTACTGTTTAGTGTATAGGTTGTTTTTATTACTTTTGGAACTTTCATGTAAGGAAAACATCATTGAATAGTTAGTTGTCATATGTTTAGAAATTTAAATATTTTTTAATTGTCATGTGTATATATTTTAATTTGTCAAATTTTGTAATATGAGTAACATCCATTTGCCATGGATGATTAGGAAGTGGACCTCTAGGGTTATTCTTAAATTAGTTACAGATAAATATTGTGGGTACACCTTATTGTTTGGCAATTTTGAGGAGTAGTCTCTCTAGTTAAACCGAATTGTTTTCTTAGAGCTTTTGTTATTTAATGATGAAAGTTATGAGACTGTAGAGTTCTCTCTATTTAAGACAAATTGATCAATTTTATCTGTTGATTTGTTCCCTTTAGCCAGTAGGTAGGGAAAGGCCTGAATGGGCTTCCTAATGTGACCCAAACAAAACATGGCAATTTTTGTAGGTGAATTATATTTTGAATTTGTTTAAATAACATTTTCAAACTGATATAATTATAGTTTTTATGTATAGAATTGTCTCTATTACTTAAAGAGCCTTTAAAACATGATTAGTAGCCGGGTGTTGGTGGCACACACCTTTAATCCCAGCACTCGGGAGGCAGAAGCAGGCGGATCTCTGTGAGTTCGAGGCCAGCCTGGTCTCCAGAGCAAGTCCTAGGATAGGCTCCAAAGCTACACAGAGAAACCCTGTCTCGAGAAAAAACAAAACAAAACATGATTATTAGTATACAAATTAAATGAATCATTTTATTAGACGCTGAAAGACCATTGCAACAGCTCGTAACTTGATTACCTGAGCTCTGTTTTATTTATTTTTTACCATGTATAATATAAGCTGTTCTTATATTGGAAGAACCATCAGTAAAAGTTGACATAGTATTTTATGAGATTGTTTCTTACTATTTTGGGGAAAAAAATGTATTAATATAACCTGTAACAGTCTATGACCTGTAATTGATTATCAATGTTGCCTGAAAATTTAGCAAAAACAATTGCCCAATGAATCATTATTTAGAAATAACCAAGCAACTTGTTGCTTGACATAAGTAACATAAGTTTTTTATCTTTAAGCCTTAAATTCTTTAGAACTTAGCATATGTCCCAAACAATTTTTGAAAATTTACTTAAAGGTTTTTGAGCAGCCTTTTCTAATCCGTCCTGTTAAACTTTTTACTAGCTGACATTAAAAATTTAGGAGGAGTTTTGTGTCCTCTCCTCTGCCAAAATTCTATAGAATTGTTCACATAGATCCCTCTTTGCCCTTAAGTCAATGGGGCTGATTGAATGCTCTTTTTAATTATATTTAAAACAATTTAGGTAGCTTTTTAACTACATCTGAATTAATTTACGTACACACACACACACACACACACACACACACGTATATACATATACACATTTGTGAATCATATCCAAGGCAATTCAAGCAGTTTTTTTTTTTTTTGTCAGCATTCATGCATTTACAATCACATATCATGCATTCAGGTGTGGCCACACTATACACACAGAGCACGCACACATTTTTTCATCTCTCCTTTTGCCCAGGTTATGCCCAGTCTGTTGAAATGAAAACTCCCTAATTGAAATCTCTTGTAACATAGCAGTTATAGCCAATTCTTGAATTATGAGCATCCAAAGTTTAAACATATCCAATTTTTTTTTATGCTGTCTTTCTTTTTCCATAAGGTCTTAAAACATTTTTTTGACTGGCTGCATTAATAGTAATTTCTATATATTTGATCGGTCATCAGTGAGACAGAGAAGGGAGTAGCTCCCAAAGGCTGCAAGTGTTTTAGTTTTGGCCCTGGCCTCCCTTGCCTTTTGCCCCCTGGGCTTGGGCTGACCTGTTATAAATGATCTGTGGCTGCCTGCTGTGGCTGTAAATCTCTTATCTTTTATGAGAGTAATTTGGCTAAATCCTTAAAGTCTCCTGGCCCTTGCTGAACTCTACCACTAGCTCATTGCCTCTCTGTATTTCCAGTTAAAATTGAGGGAGGTGCATAGTTTAATTCTGTGGGATTAGTACCTGTTGATGGTGTAGTTCGTACCCAACATACATATATGGTTTAGCAGTTTGAATTTTATCAGGTATTATTTGGAGCCCTCTTTGAGTGAGGCTGGAAGTTAAATCTTACAAGCACAGGGAAAGTTGCTTCTGCTGGGCAGCAGCCAAAGAATGTAAATCCTTTTTCCTAATAGGATTAACAGCAACAAATTTTTAGCATGAAGTGGGGCTGTTGGCTATGCCCTGAAGGCAAAACCTTCCACTGATTTGGAGGCATAGGGCCCTGGAAATTAACCTGGGAAACAGTAAAGGCAAAGTGAGGCTTATCCTCAGGGTGTAGGGCAATGGTGAAAAAGCAGTCTTTAAGATCTTGGGGCCCAGGGCTGGTTCCATTGGAGGTTTCCCTGCTGTTGTGGGGGTAAAGGTTAGTTTTAGATCTGCATTGTGCAGCTAATGTTTGCCTTTATGGCAACGCCAGCATACAGTAGGGGGAGGCAGCAGACCTGAAGCTGTAATTGTAGGAGTTCAGGGAGCAGGGCATTCTCTAAAGAAGTGACCAGGTTGTTTGTAATTAAAGCAAGTTTTTGGTTGTTGATTAAGCCCGTGCCATTACAGGCCAAATGTTTAACAAACGGACAGGTTTAGGAGACGCTTTCTTTTGATTGTGGTAAACAAAGTCCCTGCAATTCTCCATAAACTCAATTTTGCATAAGACAAAACCCCTCTTGAGAGGGAAGCATGCTCTAGCCAGTGCCTGTCATTAGGGAGTAACCATTTGTCACTATAACTCTCCTGGAGGCCAAGGGTGTTTGGGGCAGTCAATACAAAGAAGGACAAGTTGAACGGGAAGCTGCTCTGGATGGGAGGCAGGAATTTTTCTTTACCAGCTCTCTTCCATCTATTTACATCAATGGTTCCCTCTTGGGGGATCCTAGGACAGAGATTCCCTATGCAATCTAAATATTTATTAAATCTTTTTTTCTTAACCCTAGTTCCTTGAGTCTTGTCTGAAGACAGACACAAGAACATTTTCTGGTTCAAAGACTTTATAGTAATTTTGTAGGCAATTACCTACTCTAGCCCATTTGTTTTCATTAATCGTCCCTTCCTGTGGAAACCAAGGACAGAGGTCTCCAACAAAGAGGAAAAATTTCCTTAATTGTTTCTGTTTAAGCTGGGTTCTTCGTGTCTTGAGGGATTCTTTGATCCCAGAAAGATCCACATCTTCCTTGATAAGTGCTTGTCCCCTTACTCACTGCTGCCTCAGGTGGTGTTCATGAACGGATGAAGATTCCCGTGTGCTGGGTAAGGCTGCTGGGTGTCTTCCCCTCGAGGCCCACAATCGACCGTGTCACAGGCGCCTCAATGTGTGGATTGGCCTATCCCTCTAATGAACACTGACATTCTCCTCTCCTGGAACAGTCGAGCCCCACGTTGTGGGTACCAGTTGTAGTTGTCTCGACCCACAGGACAGCAACCTAGAGCAAGAAGTCCAGGGAGGGGAATGGAGACAAGAGACTCGAGAGAATGACCACAAGACAGGATTCTGATCAAGTGGCAAATTTTATGTTTTCCAGGCTAGCTTATATAGTCAGTAGTATGGGGTAAAGAGGAAAGGGAGAAAAGGCCAAGAGCCAGGTGTTAGTTTAAGCAGTATGTCAGAAAACTATAGAAAGAGGATGTTGGCAGGGTGAAAAGTTCATGGATGGTGGGGAGAGGGAGGGTTGCTTAGGTAAGTGGGCCTGTGGTTGGAACAAAGGATTGAAGTCTGGTTCATTTTGTTCCTTCTGAGTGCTCATGTTTCTAGAAGCCATTTATAATCAAAAGACAGTTTTGTAACTATGTGGCTTGCCAAGTTTGGCCTAAAGGTTCATGCCAAGCTGTATGGCTCCCAACAATACCAGGATCTTTGATTCGATTTGATTCCTTTGACTTACCTGTCTGTTTTTATGCCAATACCAAGCTGTTTTCATTCCTATAGCTCTATAGTAGAGCTTGAAGTCGGGGATGGTGATGCCCCCAAATGATCCTTTATTGTACAGGATTGTTTTGGCTATCCTGGGTTTTTTCCATATGAAATTGATTATTGTTCTTTCAAGGTCTGTGAAGAATTGTGCTGGGATTTTGATGGCGATTGCATTGAATCTGTGGATTACTTTACATAGGATTGCCATTTTTACTATGTTGATCCTACCTATTCAAGAGCATGGGAGATCTTTCCATTTTCTGATATCTTCTTTAATTTCTTTAAGGACTTGAAGTTCCTATCATACAGTTCCTTCATTTGTTTGGTTAGAGTTACCCCAAGATAGTTTGTTATTTGTGACTATTATAAAGGATGAAGCTTCTTAGATTTCCTTCTGAGTCTCTTTTTTATCATCTGTATATAGGAGGGCTACTGATTTTTTTTCAGTTAATCTTGTGTAGGGGATGCTGTAGCCATGCCTGCTTAGGGGCTGGCTACAGGTGTGCCTGACCATGCCTGTGAGGGCATGGTCAGGGTGAGGTAGAGTGAGGGACATTCAGGTGGCATGTTTCTGCTTTCAGTTTGCCTTTTCGGCTTGCTGTACAGACTGTTGCTGCACCAGCTGACTAGGCTTTTTCCCTATTAAAATCCCTTGTATTTTTATCTGGCTCTGTATTGGTAATTTCCCCACATTATCTGGTTGTCAGGAGTGGGATATTGGAAACCTAGGCTCCATTTGGGACAGCTTGTGGGTTCCACCTGGACTGTGGCCTAGGCCGGGAAAGCGCCCTCTCTCCACAGGTGCTCACGGCTCACAGCCAACCCGCTGCACCACACCAGCGTGTTGCCACTGCTGAGCTGCTCAGAACTGTCTGCCCAGCGGGAGATTTCCAGAGACCTCCCCACGGTTACAGTGGCAGTTTCTAGTTGGGTGCACGGGACTTGCTCGGACTGCTTCTTACCCGCACCTGGAGGCCTCCTGCCCTTAGCTGAGAGGCCTTGGAAGTAGGCCTTGGCTTTCAGCAGGGTCCAACGCTTCCCCTTGCTGCTGGCTTCCCCTGGCCGCTGTGGCGGTAAAGCCTCATCTCTTATACTCTCTAAGATAAGCACAGCCACTTTTGTGACCTCTCTCCACCACTGTCACCATCTTGCCTGACCAACCACTGCCAAACGCCGCACTGAGTAGCTGAATGCCTGTGCCACCTGCTGGTCAAAAATGGTTACTGCATCTGGAGTAGAAATCAGATAGATTATGGCGGAATATTTATCATTTGCTAAAACTGGTAATATTTTTGCTTATTACATGAATTCAGTGTTTGAGGAGGATGCTAACTTGCCAATTGCCAGCCTATATGCGGTAATGGCAGTTAGCTTGCTGGTACAAGTAATATTGCTAGCCAGAGGTTTCAGGAACAGGGACAAGGATAACCTCACCACCTGTTTGCAAGAAATAACAGCTTTACACAATGAGGTTTTGGAGAACAGATTTGGTCAGACCACAATTGTGCAGCAAGCAGAACAGAAATTGGATGATAGGCTTGGCTCTGTGTCCAATACGCTAAAGACAGAGCTGTCTGTTACCCAAGATGAGATGCAGCGTATTTATGATAAGATAAACACAGAGAGATCCTCCATGTCTGAGGCATTAGAGGCTAGGTGGTCAGAGGAGCGTGACAAATAAAAGAATTTAATTTAATTGCCACCTAGAAACTCAGATAGGCTCTGTTACCCAGAAACTAGATGCAAAGGTACAAAATACCCAGGATAGGTTTGAAGAATTGGACAATGCCATTCAA